ACAGCTTTCAATGTCATCCTTCTTGTCACTAAAAACAGAAAAAGACTAAAAAAGCAGAACTCAACAGCTCTTCTGAGATCCTGCAGTGATTTGCGGTCACAGGCAACTGTTTCCCCAAAAAAGTGGAAGGAAAAAAAAAAGAATTCTGGGAACCCCAGTTTACCAGAAACAGAACCAGCAACTGTCAAAAAAAACTTAAATTGTAATTGACAAATGATGGGGCCTGAGCTTAGGTTAACTTGGAGCTAAAGCCCTCCAGGATCCCAATCTTAGGGAATCATCACCTTTTCATGAGTCTTCCCTGTAGGTCTCTAGCAGTGAGGGTCAGCGAATGTTTTCTCATTTCTAATCGGGGCTGGGGAAACTAAGCAGTCCAAAATACACTTAGAGGGAGAGTAGCAATTTTGAAAAATACCGAGAGCATTGTGCTGTGCTCTTGCCTTCTGGGAAGTTACTTTATCAGAGTGTACCTTACATAGAGGAAGGTGAAATGCCTATTTCTGATCCCCTATTACATTTGCAAGTGTGAAAATCATAGTCTAGGGGCAAATGAGACCTCAGCAGGGAGTTATAGAATGCTTCCTCCCACCTCTTACCACATTAGCAGGGTTTCTGTGTAATAACAGCTGAAAGAACTACAAGGCTCAGGTTTTATTTAAAGAGGAGTCTGTTGGGAAAGCCAACAGCAACAAGGAAAGACAAAAGCAAGACTCTAGAGGAAACTGATGCCTACACTATAGCAAACAGTACATAAGACAGCCCCTCTTAGCCAGAATAACACAAACTTTCATGCTAAAATCATATTTACCTTAATTCCTATTACCCAATACATCATGTCTGACTTTCAACAACTTACAAGACATACTAGAAGATAAGAAAAAAAAACTGTCTGGGGTGGGGGAAACTTTGTACACTACTGGTGGGATCATAAACTAATATAAATTACTATAGAAAACAGTTCAGAGGCACTAAAGAAATTAAAAATTACTTTTGATCAAGTAAGTGAAATAAGCTAAATAATGAACAACAAATGCTACATGATAAACTTACATGTGATTCATTTTTAAAGTCCAACTCATAGAAACAAAGGTTAAAAAAAGGATAGAAACTTCCAGACATAAAGTGAATAAGGCCTAAGGACTCTTCACGAGGACTATAGTCGAGAACTATAGTTGCAAACAATAGTACCAGACTAAGATATGGTAAACAGTTTGAAGCATCATCTCAAGAATTTTAAATCGCTATGATTAACATTTGAAGGACTGTAGTGGGAAAATTGGATAGCCTGCAAGAACAAATGGATAATATAAACAGTGATAGAAACTCTAATAAGAAAACAAAAGGAACTGCTAAAAGTCAAAAATTTTATCAGAGAAACAAACAATCCTACTTTTGAGCTTGCCAATAGAATGGATTCAGCCAAGAGAGAAATCAATGAAATATGAAGGGAAATAGAATAAAAAATGGGAGACTATTCAAGAATTGTAGGTAAATTACAAAAGGTATAGTATGCCTATAGTGGGAATACTAGAAAAAGAAAATAAAGAAGCAGAAGAAATATCCGAAACAATAATGGATGACAATTTTCCAAAATTAAGACAAGATATTAAGTCACTATTTTAGGGTAAGACTCAGCATACTACTGTCAATAAATGACATTTCTAACAGGAGAATAAATAAGAATATAGACATACATACTAGCAATCATCTGGATCTAATTGACATCTTTAGACGATGTCATTAAACAAATACAGAAGCAGCCCTCCCTGGTGGTTCAGCAGGTAAACGCAGCACGAAGAAGCTAAAGCCACTTCAGCACAAGTTCGATCCCTGGCCCCAGAGGTGATCCACATGGCACAGCAGACCTCTCCTGACCCGCCCACTGCTCCCCTCAGCAG